ATGGAAAAAAAGGAAGACACTGAGGTGAAATGATGGAGTAAAGAATATAAAACAGAAGGGAAGAGTCAAGTAGGCAGGAAAGGACATAGAGGAAGGAAGTGGGAGGAAAAGATAGAAAAAGAAGAGGGAAAAGTATTGTCATTATACTAATAACAGTTCCTGTTGAACTTTAAATCTGCATCTCATCTCTGTATTTGTCCAGCTGATGTTCTTGCCATCATACACCGTGTGTTTGTTTTGTCTACACCAGGGATGAAATAAAATCTGTGGAATGTGGGGCCCTATGTCTTTATGCGATAACAAAAAGAGCTGATGCGTGACTTTATTTGTGGATGTGTTTGTGTGTGTGTGTGTGTGTGCATAGGGGTTACAAGGGCAGCTGAATTGCGAAGAATAGCAAGTGTGTGTGTATGTGTGTATGTGTTTAAAGGCAATAAGGGTGTCAAAGCAGCAAAGGAAGTGACCTCAGAGAGGAAGTTGCCGCTGAATTAGAGGAAGTGGTATGGAGCTGACTTGGATTTGTGCTTCCTATGCTGGTGATTGGAGGAAAGGATATAAAAGAGAGGACAGTGAGATTAAAAAGGCAGGAGGATGGGACACAGAAAGTAGAAATGAAGGAAGGCAGAGAAGAAGAAAATATTGGAGAGTTGGAAAAACTGTTGAAGAATTCGATATTGAAAACAAATGAGATACTAATGGAGAAACCTGTGTGAGGTCGATAATGTAGATTATCATAGGATTATTACAGGATAACATGGAGAGAGAAGAGGAAGAGAGGCAGGAGATGACAGAAGGTGGAAAAGGAGATGTGGTTGGGGTGGTTTCCCATATGCTGTAATCATCTCTGCTTTGGTGAGGAGCATTTCACTCATCCATCTGGGTGTTTGTGTGCGTGCATGTGTGTGTAGAAGCAAGACTGTTTTCCTTTATTGAATTGTAGGGTACTGCAGGGGTTGTCCTTGGCACTCGATCTGAGCGTGTTTATTCAAACGCATACACATTTTTTGAGAGATTTTTTTCCCCTTTTATCTCACTCTGTTTTCATTCCTCTTTATAGTTTGCCATTCTCTTCCTTTTATGCCAATCTAATCCCACCCTGCTATTTCCGAGTTTTCTCATGGCTTCCTTCTTGTTCTTACCCAGTGTGTGTGTGTGTGTGAGTGTGAGTGTGAGTGTGTGTGTGTGTGTGTGTGTGTGTGTGTGTGTGTGTGTGTGTGTG